CACACACACCCGCCCGCGCCCGCCCGCCCGCGCGCCTCTCTGGAGTTTACAAAGGCGGCCAAGGCGAGAAGTTTCCTCGGCGAGGGCAGGATTAATCCCACGAGGCGGATGGTTTAAAGCACCTGGATTATACTTTCCTGGGCCGGCTGGGGAGCCTTTGGCGGGGGAGCCTTGCCCGCAGACCTGGTCGCAGTGCCTGCGTGCGACGACTTGGGAGCTCTCCAGACAGGAGCGCATCCTTGGCCCACCTGAGGAATAAAGGGCTCGTTGGAAACCAACCCCGGGAGGAGTTTGAAGCCTTGAGCTACTTATCCCAGGAGGATGGCCGCCTTGCGCCTCTTTGGCTTGACGTTTGCCTTAGCAATTACGCTGCAGGTAATAGCACAGCCCTCGGCCCCCGGGGGTTCTTCTTTGGAAAGCCTGGCCCCGAAAGGTACCAGGCTTGGGTAAGCTCTGATGTGGCTCTTTTGTGTATATCTCCTCTTTGTGCAGAGGGCCTCCGGCTCGGGTGTCTTCCAGCTGGAGCTGCGGGAGTTTGTCAACGGCCGGGGCTCCCTGGCTAACGGGGAGTCCTGCGGGACCGGCTGCAGGACCTTCTTTCGCGTTTGCTTGAAGCATTTTCAGGCCGTGATCTCCCCGGGTTCCTGCACCTTCGGAAGCATCATCACCCCAATCCTAGGAACCAACTCTTTCACGGTCAAGGAGACGGAGAGATTCGGCAGCCCTATAAATCTCCCTTTTAACTTCACATGGCCGGTGAGCACTCACCTTCAAGAGGTTTGGAAGGGGAGGGAGGTTAAAGCAGAGGACAGCTACACCATAAACACGTCCGTTTAACATTTCTTTCCATTACTTCCTGTCGTGTAAAAAGCTACAACGGATTGCACACACAAAAAAAGGAGAACTGTGTGAAATGTAAATGGTTGTGACCTGGGGAACGTGCATTCAACAAAATTCATCGAGGGGGTTGAGGCAACTGCTGGTGGGAGGAAAGGAGGGAGAGAGAGAAGAGAGAAAATTCCGCTCCTGTGAGCAACGTTTTCCCAGGAGATGAAAACAGTCCTGACTTAGGAAGCTCCATTTCATTGACTCGGACAAAGTAATGCTATCTGCAATTAGATTAATTGAAATGTATATCTGCCAGCACGACCAGGTAGAGGTTTTCTGGTTTCACCTGATTGTTTTAAACTCCGAGGCCCATGGCCCCTTTCCGATCACTTTTCACTATCGCTCCACGCTTGTTTTAAATTCTGTACCACCCGCTCATGCCTTCTTTTCATCCACAGGGAACTTTTTCATTGATCATTGAAGCTTGGCACGCTCCCGAAGGTTACCAGCCAGCAGGTGAATATGACATTTCACGCTGTAGTCACTAGAGGGCGACAGCTTTCCAAAACTTCCTTTATGTTTGTACTGTATTAGTTTCGACAGAGAATTACTAAATTTGTTAGCATCTGTATCAAACAGCAAAATAAATAAATTTGACGACTCGTAGTTCTTTAGAATATATTTTCCGTGCTTGATTAACTTTGCAAGCCAAATCAGTTCCCTACATTTCCATCGGTTGTGCTTTGATTTTGTCCCTTACTTAATCTCCACACAATTGCGTTTCCTCCCGTTTATTTTTGGCGTGGGAAAGAAAGGAGCTCTTTGGTGAGAAAACGCCAAGGCTGCCAAAAAGTCCTGACTGCCTTTTCCTGTATTTTACACCTTTTTCAAATTCCACCCTTTGGAAAAGGAATAATGGCTTTGGGATGTTTTTCTCACATAAAGGAAAAGGATATTTCAACAGCAGCAGAGCTTTTACTTTGAAACGCTGTCTGCACAACTTCTCAGGGCCATGGCTGGTTAACAATAATGGACACTAAAAGAGGAGGAAAAACAACCCGTTGTTTTTATATTAGTACAGAGGATTCACTGTATTTCAAAAAGCCCAAGTATCACTCTGTATCCCTGCTTTAATTATTATTATTTAGCACACTATTTGTGTTGAATAATGCAAGATTCCTGTGCAGTTTAAATTCAATGGCAATACATTGTGACAGTTGCCATTTATATCTTGCTTGCTTTCTTTACATAAAATCATTAGATTTCCGATCACGTTAATTTATTTTCAAATTCTTTACTATTTTGAATTATTTTAAGCATGCCACAAATTACATTGCATGGGGTTTTTTAACTGAACACACTGTCTGATGGAAATCTAGTCGACTTTCCTATTGGGTATTACAGTAGAGGATTGATGCTAGATGCCATTGCTGATTAACGTGACCCCAAAGGTGAACTTCAAGTTAGAGGGTAAAGTGAGGAAGGTTTTGATAACATAGTACAGTATGTGGTAGCAGTAGGCACACTGGTATGAGCTGGCATGATACTATGTGGCTACTCCATTTCAACTAGCCAAGCTTTATTGGTACAAAGGCGCACAGCTGGGTGCCCAGCAGACTTGTCGAATAAGCAGCCAAGCAGTTGTAGAACAGGTAGCCATGTTAACCTGAGCAATGATATTTAGGGTTATCAGTCTGTAAGTTGCCAGTTTTTCATAGGGCCCCTGTAGCTTATACAAGGGGATCCACCTGTTGAATTTTTGCCTCTTAAATTGTTAAACACAGACACTCCAGCAGGCCCCCAAAATAAAGGGGTGGGGGGAAGGAAGGCAGCAACCAGTCTTTGAGGATGTGGAGGCCACTGTGGGAAAGTGCATATGCCATCGTTATGTGGGAACTGGTGTGGAAAAGGGATACAGTAATAAGCCTGGAAAAGAGCACATGTAGAACTGAAACTAGGAAACTGCGGGAGATGGTGGCGCCTAGCAGTATATAAAAAGTCTTTGGAGAACACACGTGCTTCATTTTGAAAAACAGAGTTTAGACTCCAGCCTGGAAGTCATCAGCTTTGGAGCACAGTGGCTTTTCACAAGCCTCTCAGGGCTGTGGCCACCAAGACCGAGTAGCTTTCTGCTTAGGCCCAGAGGCATTTTCTTTCGGATTCCTTCATAGATTCCAGATTCTGTGGACGGGGCTGACACAAACTAAAGAAAGGTTGGGATTATTGTTTAGGGCACTGTGTGGCCAGACGCCACGGTCTGCACTCAGGAGCAGTGGGAAGGGATTTGGTTCCTCTGTGAGGGGAAGGTCGAGACGCAGCCAATTCAGGGGAAGAGAAGCTTCCTCAGTCCTAACCCCAAGGTCCTGTCTTCCCTCCCTCCTGTGGCAGGTTCCCAAACCCCACCCCAGGACTGGCTCATCAGCCAAATGGCCATCCAGCGCTCGCTGGCGGTGGGCGAAGACTGGTTCCAGGACGAGCAGAGCAACGAGCGGGCCAAGCTGCGCTACTCCTACCGAGTAGTGTGTAACGAGCACTACTACGGCGACAACTGTTCCCGCCTTTGCAGGGGCCGTGACGACCACTTCGGGCATTACATCTGTGAGTCGGACGGCAGCGTCGCTTGTATGCCCGGCTGGACGGGGAACTACTGCACCGAAGGTGAGTGACCTTCTTCTCTCCTGCCCGCCAATCCCCTCAGAGTGAACGGAGAGCGGGAAACGCCTGGCGGCGACCGGAAAGAAATCAGCCACAAGGGCAAGGCAAGGCAGACAGCGCCCCCTGTCGTCTCCCAGGCCTTTTAACCGCAAACAAAGGGCGTCCGTTGGCCGATGCGGATAAAAACACGAAGCGGTGTCCGCGAGAGGGGCGCGCGGCCGAGGTCGCAGCGGCACCGCGAGTGCGCGAGTGCGCGAGGCTTTAGGGGACGGGTTGGAGGCGCTGCCTCTCCGTGAAAGGAGATGGTTAGGCTACATGCTAGAAAGTGTGTGAACAAATTCTTTAATCTTTTTCCTACCCTGCCATATGCGGGGCCAGAAGTTATATTCAGTGAGGCACAGACTGTTGCCCCTCATGTTCAGCTGAGAAACCAGACGTGGCCCCCTTGGCACGAATGCCTTTCTTCCTGTCCCTTCAGGAGGGGCGCTGCCTCGGGGGAGGGGCGACTCCCAGTGGTACCTACGATGTGAGGAAACTCTGCTCAATGGAAAGTTTATCTCAACTAGGCTCAAAACAGGCCTTCTCAAAGCTTCATGAACTTTTCACCCCTGTCAATCATCCTCAGCCTTTATTTTTACAAAAGAAATCCGTTGTGGGTTTTTTTTAGTAGACTGGTCCAAAACACCACTGCCCAATGATAGTTAGCTTCTTTCTTAAAGATAAAGGTTCCCCTTGACATTTTGTCCAGTCATATCCGACTCTAGGATGCAGCGCTCATCCCCATCTCAAAGCGGTAGAGCCAGTGTTTGTCCGTAGACAGTTTCCATAGTCATCACGACTAGACACGGAATACTGTGACCTTCCCACCAAAGTGGTACCTATTTATCTACTCGCATTTCAAACTGCTAGGTTGGCAGAAGCTGGGACAAGCGACAGGAGCTCACTCTGTTGCGTGGATTTGATCTTATGACTGCTGGTCTTCCAACCTTGCAGCACAGAGGCTTTTGCAGTTTAACCTACAGCGCCACCATGTCCCAGCTTCTTTCTTACTTTTCTCAAATACAGTGGTGCCTCGCTAGACGATGATACTCCGTTCCACTGAAATGGCTGTCTAGCGAAATCATTGTCTAGTGAAAAGCATTTCCCCATTGGAATGCATTGAAACCTGTTTAATGTGTTCCAATGGGGAAGAATCGTCGTTGTCTAGAGAAGATTGGCCATAGGAAAGCCACTTTGCGAACCACCAATCAGCTGTTTAAATTGCTGACTTGCGAAGCTTAGGTCCCAAAAACACCTGTTATGTGAGCGCGGAGGGAGCTGTCAAAATCGTCGTCTAGCGAAAATCGGTTTGCGAAGGAGGGACCAAACATTGTCCAGCGAAATTCCCCCATAGGAATCACTGTTTTGGAATCACTATAGCGATCGCAAAAAGTCAATGTCTAGCGAAAAAACTGTCATGCGGGGTAACTGTCTAGCGAGGCACCACTGTACATGTTCAGTTGCACAAACGAAATTATGGACCCTTCTTGAAAAAAATTAAAAGCTGGGGGAATTAACTGCCGTAGTCTGCCCGAAGCAGCATAAGTAGCATCAACTTCCCTGTTGGGTAGTTGATTCACATTTTATGCCTCTCTGCATCACCATTTCCTGGTAAAAACCCATTAAAGAATGAAGGACAGCTCCATGGTTCCAAACTGCTGCAGCAGAGATAAGCCAAGAAGTTCTAGTCAATCTAGTGTCTTGTGTATACCATATTGCATGCTAATGTGATGTTGTCTCTTTATGTTACAACTCTGCAGCAGCAAGTACTGGTCAAATATAGTTCTAGTTTCCTATCTGCAGAACAACATAAATCAACACATATGCATCATTACGTATTCACCTCATGCCACATGCAGTTTGTGTGACTGTGACAATGCTATGGTGCTTAGTTCTGCTTATGAGTTTCCTACAGGGCCATCTGATTAGCTGTTGCAAGCAAAATGCCTGATATGACAGGCTTTGATATGATTTTGCATGGCACTTCAGATATTCCTGTACATAGCAAGAACCTAGAGTGAAGCCTATCTCCTTGACACATTACCTTTAAAGATACATGCAGCAGATAAAATATTTTGTACATGATGGGGAAAATGTGCTATAATACATAGCCTTGAGTGTTTCATTCATTAAAATGGAAAAAACCACAAAAACTGTTCATGTGTCAGAGATCAGTTTATAGAAGACACTGGCCTAACAGTTCTTAACAGTTTGTGTCACCTGGTTTGGGTTCATTTGCTGTATTCACAAGGTCTTTGGCAATCTCATGGGCTCTGCACCAGTGTTTCTCAAAATTATCTTTTGTTTTAACCATAAATGCTACTGTTCACTGTAGCTGCAGATTAGATGTTGGGAAAGTTGCTTTCTGGGTTTCAAGTTAATACATTAATTACCGTTAGTAGAAATCCTTCTAGAAGAGATAGAAGGATTTTCAGGTCTAATTAGATGGCATTACATCTCTAAATGCTTCCAGTCAAAAACAGCTTCTTAGAACTATTGTATTTATGATAATAATTTTAAACTATGAGTTTGAGTACATTTGTTAGGTGGATTAGAGTTGCATCATTGCTCAAAGCTGTGTGTATATACTTTTTGTTATGATGAAAACTGATAAAACTGGAGGTGGTACAGCAACAGCATTTTAAAAAATTATAGCCATGTTCTCCTTGGTTTTAGTAAACCAGATCTATATTTGTTGTGAAAACAAAACAAAATCTTGGTCTACAGGAAAACAGTATTTGCAAGCAATGTTGGTGCTTTAGTTTTCCTTCTGTTTACCTTTTTAAAAATGTTGGAGTCACAATCTTGCATATAGTTTATGTAATTTAATGCAAAACAGAAGGATCTGCATACTTTACATTGATTTACATCATTCTGACCAAAACATATGAAAAACTTTCGAACAGAATGTACTTTCTTTCTTGTCAAAAATATAAAGAGTTCTCTTAGACACGAGTGACTTCTGGTTTGTTCAGTCTTTGTTTAAACTAACCCACTCACCACCTCTCAGGATTGCCATGAAGGTAAAATGATGGGTGGGTGGAAATATTGTCTTGAGTATGTGAAGGAAGGGCAAGAAGCAAATGTGATAAACAATGTTTTGAAATGCATTTGATTCCTTTTTGGACAAAGTTTTGAACACCAGTTTTGTTTTTGTTTTAAACAGCTATTTGTCTAGCTGGATGTTCAGAGAAAAGTGGTTTTTGCAGAAATCCAGGAGAGTGCATGTAAGTAGTCATTATATTACATTGCAGTTAGTGCAGCAAAACTTCTCTTCTGCTTTCATTTTCTGCATTTTATTGTCATCATTGGTGGAATTCTTTTAAATTCAGCAGGCCCCAAGTCTTCTGATAGTTATTTCCATATTTCAATTAATTTCTTCCTAGCTGCCGTAGTGGTTGGAGAGGACGTTATTGTGATGAATGTATTCCTCATGTGGGTTGTCGCCATGGGACTTGTACCAAACCAGGCAAGTGCATATGTGATGAAGGCTGGGGAGGCCTCTTCTGCGATCAAGGTTAGTTGATATAGTTAAGAAAGGTTAATTGATATGCTTAGGACAATAATACTTTAATTTTAATGTGATGGCAGATTGGTGTTCTTTTATTAAATGCATTATACCTTGCCATCCTACCTTACTTATGGGGATTACATTAAAAACTATTATAAACCCATGAGACTATCTCATTCCTTGTCCCTTTAATATATTAAGCTGTGATCCTAGGAAAAAAGGAAGAGCCACCTGGGGTTCTCATTGAGGGTGGGGGCAGTGACTGCATGCCTGTCTATTCATGTTATGTCTGCAGTGGTGAGTGTGGGGGGGCACAAAATACCCGTTTCCCAGAAGTTATATTGGTAAGGCTGAAGGAAAGATAGTTTACACAGAAATTCAAGTACAAGGCAGAGGTGGAACTGTGTTTCAAATATCAAATCACACATTTGCCCCAAAAAACACAACAAAATAACCACACCGCAGAAGGCAAACTAATGATAAAGAACCATCCATTTTCATGTATCTCCACTCCAGGTAAAACACATATACATTGTCCCATGCAAAATCTACACTACACTTTGTCAAGAAATAAACAAAAGATCTAGCATGTATAAAACATAACAACAAAACAGCAAGTACCCCTTCTACACAGCAAGCAAAACACCTTCCTCATTTCTTAGCAACCTTGTCTCTTCCCAAACCCCTGGGTGCTCTCCAAATGGATTACAGCCCCCCCCCCCGATGATCTGTACCATCCCTCTCTTTTCCAGTTTTTCAAGGCAGGTGGTTATACTTCAAGACAAAGTTCTACTCTGCAACAACTTGTACTTTTATTTCCTAAGAATGTGTCTGAAGCTCATGTGGGATTTGGTGGTATTCTTTCAAATAAACAGCATTATGTTTTGCTATCACTAGTGCTATTATTTGTTAAAACATAAACATTTCATTGACTAAAAGTTTCTCTCTTCTATTATGTAGATCTGAACTACTGTACCCATCACAGACCCTGCAAAAATGGAGCCACTTGCATGAACACAGGCCAGGGAAGTTATACATGTTCCTGCAAAGAGGGTTTTACAGGCGTTGACTGTGAACGGAATATCAGTGAATGTGATAGTAACCCCTGCAAAAATGGAGGCAGTTGCACGGTAAGGGATAATTCTGTACAAGAATCTGATTTGTGAAAAGAGAAACAATGCAGTTTTCCAAAACATTTTAATTATCCTGCATTCTTCCAAAGTGCTGAGGGCTGAATGCATGAGATTATTTTACTTATATTCACAACAAGTGTATCTGGAAGGTTAAACTAAGAAATAATGACTTAGTGGTAGATAACATCTTGTACATTCTTCCTGCACATTGCAGATAGAGAAGAGGCACTCTGGCTTAATTGGTTTTTAGAACTGTGTGGATACAGCCAGTGCAAAGATGGTAATATATGTGCTGTGGCATAGGGCACTGTTGAAGCTGCCATGGCAACTGCACACATATACAACAGACCTGGCAAAATTGCAACTAATTGATTCCCTGACAACAGCTGCAAAGCAAGGCAAGGATCAATTTTAAAATTGGAGTTTGGTCCTGGAGAAGTTAAATGTGCTATATATGAATCTTTCTGTCTTGTCACTTATCTTGTACTCTTCCTCTTTCTAGCTAACAACTCTGATGTCTCCTCTCCTTTCCTTTCCATCTTCAGTACTGTACAGTGGTTCACTCTCTTGCTGTCATGCTTGCTATTAAATATGTTTGAACTTATCAAGTATAGAATAAGTGTAAGGTATTTTAGTGCTGTTTTCAGTATAGATCAGAAATGTGTTGCTGGTATGAATACAGTTTGTGAGTATTCTCATTCAATTTTGTGGTATTTGTTTAGTTTCCCCACTTGTAAGGCCTTCTAATAATTGGATTCTGTCCAGATGTATTCATAGTCAAAGTAGATCACTGAAATCAATGGGATTTACATTATTCCTTTCCTTTGATATTTCTTTTGCATTCATATGTTAAATTCATTTCACTCAGAGAACATGCCTAAAAGCAAATGTAGTTTTATAACTCCGTCTGAAATGTCTTTCCCCCCCCCTTTATTTTTTAGGATCTGGGGGAAGACTACAAATGTACCTGCCCTCCCGGATATGATGGTGTTAACTGTGAGCACAGTGCCTTGACGTGTGTTGACTCCCCATGTTTCAATGGTGGCACATGCCTGGAAAGAGAGAAAGGAGCCACCTATGCTTGCCTTTGCCCTATGGGTTTTACAGGATCCAACTGTGAAAAAAAGGAAGACAGATGTACCAAGAACCCCTGTGCTAATGGTAGGTCCTTTCAAAATAAGGATTTCATCAATTAACAATAATAATCCAAGCAACATTAATCTGATTTTGTGAGTCTTTCTTGATCTGCCTTCTCCCATGTATACCTGTCCAGATAAGATACGATGGCTGGCTCTGAATTTTACAATCATCAACTGAAAGTTTATTTATAGACCTAAGATTTTGGTTGAATCTGCACTTTGCTGCACTTTTTAAAGTGCTATCATGTATGGCCTTTCAAATGCTTTTATTGTTTTATTTACGGTATGTATTTCATTGAGATGGGGTAATCTCTCATCACTTTGGAATTATTTTTGTAAAGGTCATATATTTTAAATACTGTATATATTTTAAATAGGTCATATATTTTATAGAGAAACAAGAAAATAGTAAGTGTTCTGTGGGTATATCTCATTGATTTCTATGCTGGATCAATGTTGGATTTTGGATTCAGTTTCTTAATTCATAGTACTCACAGTGATTGCATCTAAAGTTTTACTGCTTTTGGATCTTTTCAAAAATAGCAATCCTGGCTTGCTAAATTTTAGAACCATAAAGCCTTACCCCTTCTCTCTTCACATAGCAGCTTCATTACCTTAATCCTGTTTTCTTTAAATCAGAAGTTCCTGTCCCATTTGAAATGTTTAGTGTCAGTTTACACTGGGTCAGACAGTGAATTGAATAATGGGTCTGAGTCTGGCATGCAAGGGGTAAGGAGCAGAGCTTGGAAGTAACTTGCTACATGTAATGTTGTTACCTTTTTTTTAGCAACAGGTGTCAACATTATCTCTTTAAACATTATAATGATATTGCCCAGGATCCTATTGAAGATTTATGCATCTATTAATGAAATTGTGTAAGTTGCTATTGTGAACTGCCACTAATGAACGAGGTGCTGGTTGCATTTCTGATCCTATGTCTGGATGTACAACAAGCATGCAGCCACGAAGGCAATTGGCATCTCATTAATTAGCTCCACTTCCCACTGCAACTTACATGATTTCACTTATGCATGTATAAATTACCAACAAGATTTCAGTCAATAATACTAATGTTCTTAATAACATTAATTGTTACTTTAACATCTTTGGAGAGGTTTTGGAAAAAATTTCTAGTTTTAATTCATACAAAATAAACACATTGCAGTATTTTAAAAAGTAGTGGGATATGTTGGCCAAGGTTCTAATACTTACACCTTCCAGCATACATCCATTGGTACATTTCAGTGGTGAATTGCAGCTAGTTAGAATTTGGCAGTTGTACTCACATGACTTGGCACATGACAATAAATGCAAATACTAACTTCTCAGCTAGGGAAATTTGTTGCTGAAATTTATGCTGATGGACACAGGACGATATGCTTATGCAAGTAGATTCTATCTATTAAATTTTTAAAAGTAGATATTTAATGTCAATGAATTGCTCTTTAGAATTGCTTTTTAGAATAACACTAACATATTTGTTTGAAAAGTAATGCATCTACATTTGGGGGAGGAAATAGTCCAATCAAATACTTCTTCTTAGTTTTATAAATCAGTTTCAGAAACTGGGGTCATTAAGCTTTCTGCCTTTTACTATACTTTTAATTGTTTAAACCATTCCTCGACTTCTTGCACCTGTGTTTTTCTTGGGTACTCGGCTAGAGATGGGGACAACTCACGAAGCACGAAGTTGCCCCCATGAACCAACAAATAATGAATTTATTCATCAATTCGTGGTCACCCCTTCTTCTCCCTACCTTAGCCCCCCAACCCCGCTGACACCCCCTTACCATAATCATTGCCACCATTGCCAATTTCTCTATCAGGCCTCTGCAGCCACAGCATGTAGAAAGGGAAACTGGCTGCCCTTTGCAAAGATGGCGGCTGCGGCTTCATTTAGGTAAGGAAGCTGCAACCGCCATATTTGCAAAGGGCAGCCTGGATTCCCTTAGCCCACTGGTTCTTAACCTTGGGTTACTCAGGAGTTTTGGACTGCAACTCCCAGAAGCCTTCACCACCTGCTGTGCTGACTGGGGTTTCTGGGAGTTGCAGTTCAAAAGCATCTGAGTAACAAAGGTTAAGAACCACTGCCTTAGCCTACCTTAAGGGAATCCAGGCTGCCCTTTGCAAAGATAGCAGCTGCAGCTTCCCTACCCTAAATGAAGCTACAGCCACCATCTTTGCAAAGGGCAGCCAGTTTCCCTTTCTATAGGGTGTGCCTGTGGAGGCCTGATAGAGACCTTGGCAGTGGTGGTGACGATTATAGTAAAGGGCTGTTGGCACGGGCGGGGGTTAAGGCAGGGAGAAGAAGGGGGTTGGCTGTGGGGTTAGGAGGCTGCCTATCGGCCTGCCGATGAGCTGATCGGCGGGCCAATAGGCAGAATGGAAAAGCCATAGGATGGCTTTTTTCCCCATATGGAGGACAAATAAAAATGGGGAAATATTCATCCCTTCATATTCATGGGGGTCTCTGGAACCACGGATATGAAGAAACAAATATTTAACAAATCAGTGATTTTAGATGAATATCACAATCCATTTTTTATTCATCCCCATGTCTAGTAATCACAGAACATGTAGCACAGAGTACATTGCGTGACACTCTGCTTAATGATTCTGTATCAGATTATATCTTCAGCTTGTTCTATTGATTTTAATTATAGACTGTTATCTCCTCCCATAGAAACAGTGCCACTTCTATAGTCTTTGCAATACATATGGTTACTAAATAACTGAGCTTTTAAATGCATTTTTTTCTCTTCAGGTGGGCAGTGTTTTGTTTTGGGCCAGCAACATGTGTGCATTTGCCGCCCTGGCTACTCTGGACAGAGATGTGAGATAAATATCAGCAAGTGTTCAAGAAATCCATGTTCCAATGGAGGATCTTGTCATGACCTTGTGGCTACACATGATTATACATGTACTTGCTTGCCAGGCTTCACTGGCAGAAATTGTGATATAAGAACTAGAGATGGATGTGCTTCTGGGCCCTGCCAGAATGGGGGGACCTGCTACATTACGCTTTATGTTACCAGCTTTGCCTGCCACTGTCCCTCTGGCTTCACAGGCAGCCATTGTGAATTTTTAGTACCGCCAGAACTTCCTAAACCAGTTCCATGGGTGGCTATATCCATGGGCGTTGGGCTAGTGGCTCTACTCATATTGTGCTGCATGATAGCTATAGTTATCCGGCAAATGCAGAGGCAGCCAGAACGGAATTCAGAAACCATGAACAACTTGTCTGACTTCCAGAAGGAAAATCTCATCCCTGCTTCTCAGCTTAAGAATACCAATAAAAATAAAGACCTTGATGTAGACTGTGTGCTGGAGAAATCAAACTACAAACTAAAAAACCATGCATTGGATTATAATCTGGTGAAAGAGCTGACAAGAGGAGTTCAAGAAGATAAATACCATAAAAGTGAAAAGTGTATAGGAGAAAAATCGCCCTTCTGGTTACGCAGGTATGAATCCTTCCTTATGAAGCCTCATTTTTCTGCACAGATGAAAAAGGTGAACAAGAGAATTTCATGTATGTGCAAAAACCTGAGAAGGGTACATGGCAGAAATGAATGTTACTGTTTAAAGTATAGCAGTTGGGAATTTTACATTTTTCTCTTCTTTAAATCATTTCTTTCATGAATAAAAGAGAAGAATTGGTTATCACTGTCATTCAGATTCTGGCTCCACTTTACCTTCCCAGTTAGAGCAATAAGAAATGACTGAATCTGAGCATAACAAACTAAGCAAGACAAAATAATTAGCAATGCATAATCTGTATATTGCAACAAAAATGGTTGCAGATAGATAAAAATCTGCCTTCAAGTGACAAGAAAGAAACAATATGAGCATGCAGTAATTTTTATTGTCAACACACTTCTATTTTCAAATCTGGGAACCATTTTTAATCCTGTGCTGCAATATGGTATCTATTTAAAAATATCCTATACACCAATCTCTCATTGTGGTTCTCAGGGTCACATGGGGAAATAGATTGCAATTTGGATCATTTGTGGATCTGTTTAATTCAATCTGTTTCCCAGCAATCATATGAAGTACAGGAAAATGTGTTCCAGTCCAACCCTGCTCCATGCCCAAGCTGGACCTCTTTGGTTCAGCTGTAGGTCTTCAGCTTTTGAGGGCTTGACTAGAATGACTACCTGGTAGACAGAACATCCCTTTCCAGTGCGATTAGGAGGGTACCTTTGCAGCACTCTGACTGCACTATCATTTTATTTTTCTGTCTCTCAGTCATATACTTTGGGTTTTTGCCATTTTACTAAACTTCCAAAAATAAAGGAGAATAGGAGTAGCCCTATTATGACCCAGTTAGGTTGAGTCACACCCCAGGTGTAAACTAGATCACAAGTTGCCTCAATACTGTGGCCATGCCATAGTCTGATTAAGGTTGTTACAAGCTTCTTTCTCCCTGAGATATTTGTATCGCACAGGGACTCATTTCAGGCACCCTGAGTTCAAGAATTTAATCATATATCACTTACTCACCAGATTTAATTGGTCTTCCATATTTTGGAGCAGGAATGAAACAAAGAAGAATGATAAAGTGTAGCAAGATAATTCACAATTGTGTCTTAGTTTGCTTAGAATGTTTTAAAGATATTTGTCTTTGGCACATTTACTGTGTTCAGATGCCTAATATGCTAAGGAATGACAGTGGTTTTAGGAATCTCTTTTTTCAATCTTATTCCCCTTTTTAAAAGTGGGACTAATAGTGGCCTATTCCCAAAGTTAATAAACATGAATGACAAGTGATCCCAACCAATAAATGCAGTTTTAGAAGTACAGTAGCTGTGATCGTCTGTGCAAGTATATCAGGCAAAAAAAAAACAGAAGCAAACAACAAATATAAAAAACTAAGACAGAAACATTGCGCTAACTTAAAGACTGTTATATTTTAATGTTAGCTTTCGTGGATCAAGTCCACTTCCTCAGACGTAAGAGTGAGTTTACATGGCAAATATTTATATATTTATATATGGCCCCAAAATAAAGAGCCTGCTTACTGGGCACAAGTTCGTTGTAGGGCATTTCACACCTGGTAATGACTAGAGATGGGCAAAAATGGCTGGTACCGCAGTTCGTGTGGGTTTGGTTTTTGACCAAACAGGCATTAAGTGGTTCCCAGCCCTGACTCCTCCCGTGGGAAGCCGGGATGGTGCATCTGAGTGGGCACCCACCAGAGAAGGTGGGGCTGGGAACCACTGAACACTGTTCAGCTGAAGAACAAACCAGTACAAACCACTAAACCAGCACAAACCACTGAAGCAGCAGTTCATGCCCATCTCCAATAAGATCCCTGTTTGCATTCAGTTCCAATAAATGTGCATGTATGCTTCTACATGGTAAATACCATTGCAGGAGCACAATTCATAATTCTTTATTCTGCTAAGAGAAAAAAATGTACCATTCTGATCGGGGTCCCAGGAATCTGAGAGCAGGCTGCCTTGTATAAGGATAGTTTTCTGACACTAACATTGTATAAAAATGCAGAGCATTGTTTTCTAATGAGAGAGAATAACTGTGATTAATAAATACATAAGAAAGTAAAAGCAGATTTTAGGATCCTGTCTGACTAACTAACTAAAACAACCTCCTGCTCCTTGAGACTGAATGATTTTGAAAGGAAGGCAGATTTCCCCCTTTTTGTATCTCTCCCAGATTGCATAAGGTTTCCTTGGTCCAAAATAATATAATGTTATTGGAGGAAACTAAGCTACCCCCTACATATTCACAATTCTACCCTGGACTCCTCTGTTTAGTGATATGGTTACAGGTGAAGTTAGAAGATATCAGGAACTGGCATTTCTATACTGTATATCTACATGACATAAATTCTTCTTCAGCCACAGCTATTGTCAAAGATTTTACACTATGTAATACATGAACACAGAATATTTTTTGTTTGTTTGTTTGTTCAGTCGTTTAGTCGTGTCCGACTCTTCGTGACTCCATGGACCAGAGCACGCCAGGCCCTCCTATCCTTTTACCAAGTATTTATTTCTTTTTTTCTACAGTGAAAAGCCAGAATGTAGAATATCAACAATATGCTCTCCAAGAGATTCTATGTATCAGTCTGTCTTTGTGATAACAGAGGAACGAAATGAGTGTGTTATAGCCACAGAGGTATGTACATTGCCTACCCAGATGCCATCTCTACAGTCATTTATATATAATGTCCCTCTTTCATGGTGAAAATAAAAAAGAAAGTGGAGTATAAAGCTTTTAGGTATCATTTGCTTGCATTTTCAATTAAAAAACCCAATTGTACATAGAAAAGGGAATTTGAAGGATCATATCACGCCATCTGAGCCTTCTTGGTTCTTAAGATCTTCTGGGGAGGCATTTTTCTGGATTCCACCACCTTCCCAAGCTTGCCTGGTGAGGAAATGAGAAAGGGCCTTCTCAGTAGCTGCTCCCAGGCTGCCCTAAGGAGGCAAGGTTGATGCCTCCCCCTGGTCCTTCTATTGTTGGGCAAAGACCTTCCTCTTCAGTCAGTCTTTTAAGTGTCTGAGGAATACTTTGTTTATTAACTTATATATTTTAAAAAGATTTTACTATTTAAAATTGTTTTTAATCTTAGTTTTAATCTTAATATATGCTTAATTGTTTTTAAATATATTATTTATATGGTATTTAAAACTGTTGATTGTTTTATAGTTTTAATTGTTGTGAGCCATCTTATGTCCCCTAAGTTAGAAAAGTGGCATGTAAATAATATAAATTAAAAAAATAAACTGTTATTGCTATTTGAGATCTTTCAGCAAACAGAAAATATAGAAAACAGAAAAATCAATGAGGTAAATCCAGAGCTTGGAAAAAGTTACTTTTGTGGCTAAAAGCCCCAGAATTCTGTAGCCATATATCCTGTACTACTGGCTTGGAGGTTATATGATTATTGGTTGTTTTTAAAGTAACTTTTCTAAATTGTGGATAAATCTTGGATGTATTTAGACTCTGGTTTGGATCTTGTCTTTCTATGAACAGCATTTTGCTCATGGAATAGGGCCTGCTGAGTTTTTCCTACCCACTGCAGCATCCATTGCTTCCTAAAACATTGCTCCTGTGGTTTGGAAAATCTCCAAAATGACATAGGATCTGCTGGAAGGAAGAGGAAGGGAGCAGGAAGAGGGAATTAGTCAAAACTCTGGCTTTAGGGTATTTGCCTTAATTTAATCTTAAAAGTACACTGAACAATATTGTATTCTTGTCTCTCATTCATTTTTAAACTTTGTTTATGAACAGGTATAATGATGAACACTGCTTTGTCTGCACCTCAGTTTTGGAGATGCCACACAGTGGACATTCCTACTATATTGTTTACAATTCAGAATTGGATTGGACTTGTATTTTTAATGATATGCAATTTGCTGCTCTCAGGAGGAGGAAGAGAAGACGGATGTGGGTGAACTGGACAGACTGTGAATTTAAAAGATGCAATAGACCTTTGTCCCCATTCCCTTATTCTGAAGTCTAATAGGAGGAATGTAACTGACTACAGGGACAAGAGAGACAGAAATTATGTCTCTTACTAAGCTTTGAAATTACATTGCTGCCAGTTGCTCATGGACAGTTGTGTGACTTTCCGGAACTTCAGTCCTTAGAAGGTGCCAGCTGGTGCAAAAGGCACCCAGCCATTTTCACAGAACCTTTTAACAATAGTGAGAGAAGAAGAAATGAAGAAACATAATTTTCTATGCAGAAAATGGATACAGAATAAATGACACCACCATTTTTTTAATTGAAAGTGCCTAAAGTGTGTTTGAGATTAGAGATCTCAAATCAAGACACACTTGCCTTTCCTCACCTTCCCTGCAATACTCAACAGTATTGGGGAGGAGCAGCTCCTCTGTTTTACATCCACTTTTCCTTTCCATGTTTTGCTCACAGCCAAAGTAAGGAAAGATGGCTACTGAACTGACATTTCATCTGTACAATGGTGGATGATGGTAATGCTTTAGTGAACAGAGCAGTAAGTTGGAATTGTTTGTTATTGCTGGACCACAGGAACATCAATGGACTTAAATGGAAGAAAAGCAGGATCCTGTCTTCTTCTCCTTATTATGAGAAACTTAATCCCAGTGTTCACTGAAAGCCTTATAAATGCGTTTAAAATCAATCAGATACTTTCCTGCCCTTTGCACTACTGGTCACCTTGAAGAGAAGTGTGTTTCTTCTACTTCATATGCATAGGAAGAACTTGGATTTTGTGTTAGTTATCCAAGTTTGGTGCCACCATTTCAATTCTAAGTAATTTCAAGCCTAAAGTGTTTTTTTGCAGATAGAGAACTGTTTGTAAGCCCTGTTTTCTCCTTCCTGCAGGACAACCACCACTCCCTATAATCAATCACTTTTCCTAATGTCCGTATCTAACTCAAAGACTAAGCTAGAAAGGGGACTATTGAGAGATATACACTAGCAGAGAAATAATAATCTCTTGATTTCTCCTGCATTTTCATTCCTTCATAGAGTAAAATTATGCTTTTGAGTCCAAAGGAGCATTTCTGAACTGGAAAACTCAGTGCACCCAGACTGTCTTAGACACTCACAGCAATAATAGTAGACATTTCAAATAGGAAGTACTGTGATGTTTGTAGCGATAAACAAGTACTGTGGGAAAGAGAATGAGTCGGAAACAGAGAGAGGAAGTAAATTTTCATTCAAGGAAGCTGCAATTGTACTTTCTATGGTGGAAGAGCAATGTTCCTGACCTTGTAAATCCTAGCATTGAACTAGTCCATCTACAGACCTTTGGATTGTACAAGCAAGAGCTTGCTTGCAATGTTCACTATTAACCTTCTGGTCTGACCATTCAAGACCATTATGAAGGTGACCTTCAGAAATCAATAATATGGTTTATACTAGTGTCTGTTTGTAGTTTATTTTGAAGTCTAGTATTTCAATAATTTAAAAAAATCAGAAGCACTGAAATTTCTATGTTTTTGTAACATTATTTTGTATATAATGTATATTTATAGTCCAAAACAGAAGTGTAAATATGTTTATTACTTATGTAATGTTTTTATGTGATGACAAAGTTTGAATTTTATTTTTTTTTCCAAATAATGAAAATACCTTCCTGCTACTACAATGTTTACTGTAGTTTCTTATTTGAGTACTTTGATTTCATGATTCTACAATGTGTACCTTATTTAGGTTATGTAGCATTGAAGTAATAGAAACATGTTGATAATCTTAAGCAAAGTTCATATTAGCATTTTTGCTAAATTAATTCAGTGTAGTTTTTGAGTTGCTAATATATCTGTTAAAGGTATTACCCTCCAATCTTAAAAGAGCCAAGATTTTTAAAGAAGATACTACACAAAGGATAAAAAATGCATGTTTTGCTTATAAAGAAAACCAAGAGACAGTAATAGAAATGTTGCTGTCATTCATTCTAACAAAAAAATTGTGGAACTCATTTCTCAATCTCATACGAGATTGAGAAACTTGTACTTGGTTAATGATTGAGAATCTCGTACTTGGTTAATAATAATAACTGTGTGCTCTCAAGGCAGTTCTGACTCATGGTGAGCCTTTTCAGGGTTTTCTAGGTAGAGACTACTCAGAAGTACTTTACCATTCCCTTCTTATGGGGGTGTCCTGGGACTAAGCAGCTTCTCCAAGGCCACACAGGCTGGCTCTTTTGGGATGTACAGTGGGGAACTCCCATCCTCTGACTCCGCAGCCAGATACCTAACTAACTGAGATAACCAGCCATAACCATAACTATACTTTGTTAGCAAGCTATAAAGTTTCTAAAGCATTGAAGTAATTGTTCACAAATAATTAGTTACTATAAACTACTTTGAGGGGCTTTGGTAGATCTATAGCTGTAATTAATTGCTTTTTAGAAGTAACTTTCCAGACTCTGAAAATGCCTTTGCAGATCTCTCTCCTTTCTGTTCTATCATCAGAGATACTAATGTATCGGTGAGCATCCCAAAACAAGCTAACTCTAATAGTGAGGTCTGCTGTTATGAAATTACATACAAGTCACCATGGCTTATTTAATTTCCTTAACTATTAGATTAGTGTAATTCTAGAATACCTGAGAGTGCTTCTCCCAAGAAAGGCAGTGCCTTTGTTTATGTAGTTAGAAGTACTGTGGGTTTTATGGCTGCTATTATGTTGTTGTACTATAGTTTCTGGGCCGCTTTTTAGTCTACAGTATTTGCTACTAGTTCAATCACCATTAAATTTAAACCGCTGATTATGAGTGGCAAAAGCATTGTCAGCTTATCATATATAATAATATATCCAGATGTTTCCCAATTTAAACAAGACATAACATATTATATTTTACAGTACTTCTTTTTTAAAAAAGGAAAATAAGGCAAATGCTAAATTTGTCAATTTGAACTCAACCGTATTTTAATGGTTGTTGTAGGTTTTTTGGGCTGTCTGGCGTGTTCTTGAGGTTTTTCTTCTGAATGTTTTGCCAGTCTCTGTGGCCGGCATCTTCAGAAGGACAAGAGTCAGAACTCTATTCTTTCATGCCTCTGACCAGAGTACAGGCAGAGTTCTCACTCCTGTCCTCTGAAGATGCCAGCCACAGAGAGTGGCGAAACATTAGGAAGAAAAACCTCAAGAACACAGTCAGACTGCCCCAAAAACTTACAACAACCATCGGATCCTGGCTGTGAAAGCCTTTGAGAATACATTCAACTGTATTTTGCTGGAATGTTCAGAAACAAGCCCACGGAGGCAGTGGAACTAAATCAACTTAAATCTAGATATTCTGGTGGTATGTGGATTGCAGTTCATTATTTTTCTGAAACAAAATATTTCAAAAATAATTTGAAGGTCCATGCCTGGAGCCTTTATGAAGTTGTCAAAGAACAATCATAGTTTTTTTAAAGAAGCAAGGAGTCTTAATCTGCCATTGCTTTTAATGATATGCAACATTGTTTACCTTTTTTTAAAACTGCATGTGTGCTTCCCTTTGATTCTTTTCTTAGTGAAATCAGTTGAGAATCCTAGTCAGTCTCCTTGACTACCATTTGAGACAAACAATAATCAACGTGGAATACAGAAATAAAGAGTTCCCTCCTATCCCAAACATGCGCCCTGTAGAGCAAAGTGTGAAAAACAAGCCATTGACAAAAAGCTGAGCAGATGCTACTGATTTGCAACCCTTCCTTGGCAATGTGAAACAAATCTAACAGATGCTTCTTTTAATTGAACACATGGATTATACACACAAACACAGAATCCTGCTTAAACATAAAACAATCAAATAGAAAAGTGGCTGCGTACTCTGTTCACAACTTAAGCAAACACTACTAAAACCCAAACCTGGATCTTGAATCTCAAGGAGAAACAGAAAATCATATCAAGAAACATAACTGAGACTTATTCTACTTAAATATAAAACACATTGATTGATAAATTAGTGAATAAGTGCCTAAGAAATAAAATTACAAGAATTTGCTGTTAAAATGGTGGTAGGAGTAGTAGAAAAGCTATTCACACAGACTCCTCTGAAGGAGCTAAAGAATAATATACAGGATTACTTGGTATAGTAATAACTTCTGTTCAGGTGAGTGATACATGGTCATAAATAAAAGGAAGTAATAAGTTTTGTAATTTTCCACACCCAGTAGGTATAATATCTAAAGTTAACGTTATATGACAGAAACTTTGCTAATTCCTTTGCACCTACAGAAATTGGTTTTCTGAAGTTTTTTCCCCCTCCTAAAGCCCTTGTCAGATTTTACTTTTGAATATATTTCTATCTCTTGCCATATTCTTTGATTTCTTGGCAGCAATTTTATAGCCTTAACAATGCATATTGATGGAGAGGATTTAGAAGGGCTGTCCCTCCACTTCTGAATCTCTTCATGTTCACTCTGTGTTTAGAAATTTGCTTCTCCAGATCGAAGAAACCCACATCCTCATCCCTTGGTGACTCCCACGGTGACCTTCCCAAGAAAGTTATTCACATCCCCACCTCTACTTGCACTGCTGCTTTTTGTTTTGGTTTTTGCTCTTACAGTATAAACTCTACAGGGTGTGGATCGGGGTTTGTTTTCTAAAATAATACGTAGTCTGTTTCTGCTTCTAACACAATTGCATACACCACACACAAAACATAATTGGGGACTGCTCCATAAACTCTGGTAATATCAGAACTACGAAGATTTCCAATTTTCTATGGACAGTCCTTGTTATTAAATTTTGTTAGTATTTTAAGTGCGACTTCGCTGCTGCTGCTGCTGCTGCTGCTAAAAATTTGCTGTTGAAATGGTGGTAGCAGAAAGTCACTCCTGGAAGCTTCCCAGAAATGCAGTTCTATTTGCCTACCTGGCAAAGAAATGTTCACTCGCAATTTCTGCAAACCAACAAAGAGTCTTATGGCACTTTCAGGCTAACAAATACATTATGGAATAAAATGTCATAACTGTTGCTCTTGAACACCTCTCCTTTTGTCAGCAATATCCCCACATTCCTGACTATTATTAATCTAGGCTTGTAATTGTTTTCCCTTTTATTAACAACCATACTAAACAAGCTACTTTTACAATGTAAAGTCTACTTTCTGGAGTAGTGGAGAAGGGGTGGAATCAAAGCTGATTGAAAAGGAACAAAATTTGCCCGCTCTTGCTGTTCTGATGGTTGGGAATTTTTTTCCCTTAAAGCAAGATCTCATTGTGTTATAATCATTGCTTCCTGTTTGTTACCTAATGACATCATTTCCTGTTTCCTGTCTGATTATATCCTTGCCAACTGTTTTTCTCAAGCGTTAACCAACTTCCCACTCTCCCACCCCCTTTCTTGTTAAACAAAAATACCATAATAAATATCTCTGTAACTGGGGTGCTGACTGAACTGAGTACAGCTCCCTTGTTTAACTATTCCTTTGCCAGAATGCACGGCAACTAAAATGTATGTTGTTAAATCATTTATTTTCATTTATGATTAAAGACATGTTAATTTTTTTCAGACACCTCGTGTATTTGCTTTTTGTTGGGACTTTAACTACCACCATTTTAAAAATAACTTCTCGAGATCAAACTTGTGTTTTATGTTGTAGAGTTTTGAATTTCTGATAAAATTCTCCTTTTGCTACACAGTAGAAGTACAGAGACCCACAGAGGAGAACAGCTTCAAGTTCCCCAGAGTCCACACCTTTCTCATTAATTGGTACCTAAAGTCTCAATAACTCACTCGGAGGCATTTGTAGGAAAAGAATAAAAATATTTGTTTACTTACAATTGCTTGAAATTACTGACTTGTGTATATTGCTTTCTTTATGGCGCACATACTTAGCAACCAACTGAACAGATCAGCTGCAAACAAATAACCACCTCTAACAGATGAGACAGAGGAAAAAGAGAGGCAGGGCTCTCTTTGAATTCAAAGGTTGAAAGGAATGAGTGGTTAGTGCTCAATAGTCACCTCAACCCAGAAGAGTCCCTTATACATTATAAAGAGCATGTAAGGCTGCAAATAAAACTTCAGCATCCTTTAAACTCACATGAAGCCACCCTCTTAAAGTCCCATCTTACTACACAAGTTTCTCAAAGCAGTGTCTCAGAAGAAACTTGCTCAGGATGTCTACTGTCATTTCTATAGTGTGACAGTAGATCAGCTCAAGGACTCCTTTCTCAGTCAGATCACTCACCAAGTAGTATTTCACACCAATGTGTTTGGTGCATCAATTCTCACTTTCCAACAGCTTGATGGAGCTCTGGTTGTCTTCCATCACCTCGATCAGCATCTTTTCATTTATCCCAAAGTCATTCAGCAGCTTCTCCAGCCATAGCAATTTTCTGCATGCCTTAGCTGCAGCAACAAATTCGGACTCTGTAGAAGACAAAACTGCAACATCTTGTTTGTGACTAGCCCATGAAATAGGACCATCACCCCACATGAACAGGAAACCACTAGTGGACTTGTGATCTGTCGTATCATCTGCCCAGCCTGTATTTGTGTACCCTATACAGATTTTTTACTAGCTAGCAGTCTTAATTTAAAGTCCATGGATACTTCAAATATCTGGCTACCTTCTGGATGAGGAAGGAGTTTGGTGGTCATTTCAATCCAACTCCATCTACATGCA